TGTTTACTTGTTTACTAGTTTTTGCCCAAATAATCCAGTGTAACAATCCCTCTCCACAAATATGGTCTTTTATAGCTAAACACAATACAGCTAGTCTAACCTTTAAATTAATTCATAGTCACAAAAAATTAAGATTGAGACCAGCAAATTCTCTTAGTTTATGAAAGTTTATTAAGGATTTTACCTGCTCTAAGTACCTCATAGAAGTTGAACCATATGTTATTCATCTTTTTGTGACTAGCTTATTTCACTTAGCATAATGCCTTCAAGGTTCATCCTTGTTGTAGCGTATCAGAATTTCTTTCCTCTTTAAGCCGAATAATCCCACTGTTATGTGTACAAGACATTTTGTTCATCCACTCATCCATCAATGGACATGACAGGTTGGTTCCATGTTTTAGCTACTGCAAATAATGCTGCTGTGAACAAAGGTTCCTGAAGCTTGGTATTCAATGATTTTGGGTATATATGCAGAAGTGGAAATGCTGGATCATAGGATTTTATTGTTTGAGGAAATATCATTACATATTCCTTACCAGCTGCACAATTTTACATTCCCACCAAGAGTGCACAAGCATTCCAATTTCTCCACATCCTTAACATTTGTTATTTTCTGTTTTTTGATCATAGCTCTCCTGATGGCTGTGAGGTGATACCTTACTGTGGTCCTGATCTGCATTTCCCCAATGACCAGTGATGTTGACCGTCTTTCCTTGTGCTTATTGGCCATTTGTACATCCTCTTTGGAGAAATCAAGCCCTTTGCTCATTTTCTAGTCAGGTATTTTTTTGTTTTGTTTTCGAGTTGCAGAACTTTTTTGACATATTTTGGATATTAACCTCTTATCAGATTTATGGTATGTAATTGTATTTTGCCATTCCATAGGTTGCCTACTCATTAGCTGTTTTTAATATAAAATAGTGTGGCATCTGTGTCTTTTAAAATATTTAACTTTTTTTTCCACTGAGAGTCAAGATGACTAAAGGGCAGTGAGTTTTTAAGGTTTGCCTAGCAACTCTGGGATATGTTACATGGACCTATATTAGCATAAGGTGATCACTTCCACAGAGAATCTGAAACTCATATATTAAGGCCCCTCACCTACAGCAATAGCCCCGGCACTAAGGATACAAGCACACAGTGAATTGTACTTTTCATTCTGTTGTAGTATATACTCATATAAAAAAATTTACTTTTCAAATCCATTTTACATTGTACACTTCAGCAGCATCTATTCCTTTCACAATGTTGTACAACTATACCTGGTACCTAGCTCCCAAACATCACCACCCCACAACCCTGTGTCCATTAAGCAGTTCCTTCCTATTCTTCCTCCCCTAGCCCCTTGCAACCACCAGTCCACCTTCTATCTCCATGAGCAAAGTCTACTTCTGTGACTGCTCTACAGACAAAATTGAGCAAGGATTTTACCTGACTGTTATTTTCCTTCAGTTGTCACTGACCTTCAAGTAGCAGAGATAATTGCCTTAGAAAGTAAGAGACTATGATAGGAGACTCCATCCTCCAATGTATAAGGCATCAAGAAACCTAAAAAGTAGTATAATCTGCAAGTTGCTAATTACACCTAAGCATTACTTTGACAATGGATCCCTTTTTTTAATTCACTGTGCCTGGGATGAGCATGGTAAGAGATTCTCTCAAACCTAACAAAATCTCTGTTTGCAGACTGATGATTCAGGTCTGTCTTCCTACCTAAATATCCTTGACTTGTTAGAGAAGCCCTCTCTGGAAAACAGTAACAGTTTCTTGGTAACAAACAGGTCAGCTGCAATTATCACTGACTGAGCAGTTAGAAATAACACATAGGAAACATTTGTGGGGATCTGGGTATTTTAATGAAACCCTCTCCAATAATGAAGAAATTACAATAAGATAGAAAGAGTTAAGAAAAGACCCACTCATAATATAGGCAAATCCTCTTCTCAAAACAAATTAGGAGCATTACTTGAACACATTAGTACCCAGCATAGCTACATACTAAAAATAAATAAATAAAATAAAAAAGCCAATTATATCATGATTAAACCTGAGTTTTCAGCCCTGGCTCACTTAATCCAGTGTGTTAACAGAAGCAAGTCACTTAACCACTCCAGGTCTCTTACTTACTTCCTATAAGAGAATGGAGCTAAAAATCTCTTGATGAGGCATCTTAGCTCTAATGTGTTGCTAATACTGACCCTTCCCCATTTGTCACTGAATAACTATACCATCATATATTCTGTATTAAATTCTATACTTAACTGTTAAAATCCAGGATTACATTTTATTAATGTCATGTTTTCATGGAAATCCCTAAGCTCTTGAAAAGTTCTGGCTCCTTGCTAATATTTTGAAGAGAAAATCTAAATGAGAAAGAGTATTATTTACTCTTACCTTGTTTGGCATCATCACAAGCTGTTGGCCTTTACAAATAGATCCTGATTCCAGCTTTCCCAGGACCACAGTGCCCATATCCTGTTTACTTTAAAATAAAAAATCCAGTTTCAGACCTTTACTATATAAAAACCCAACGTGAAATCTTGCAGAGCTTATTCACAATGAGAATCTTTAGCTCAAGTGGTAGAATGCTTAAGATTAATCTTAAACACGGAATTGGTAACAAATATTCCATAATATTTGTATCATAAGCATATGTAAAATTATAATTCTAATAAGTAGTCATGCCTAAGATTTTAAAAGAAAAGGTACAAGAGACAGCACAAAATTTTATATCTGATCTGATTTGCTCAAATTCAGATTCTCTCAATCTCTCAGCTTAGTTTTCTCATGTATAAAATTGTAAAAACTATACTTTTTCAAGAAATTTTGCATGAGGAGGTAGTGAAAGAATGAAGTATTTGAGGAAGGCAGAACATTACATATTGATATTGCAAAACTTAAAAAGTCAGGCTGGGAGGAGAACCAAGATGAGGGCGTGAGTAGAGCAGCGGAAATCTCCTCCCAAAACCACATATATTTTTGAAAATACAACAAATACAACTAATCCTAAAAGACAGACCAGAAGATACAGGACAACAGCCAGACCACATCCACACCTGCGAGAACCCAGCGCCTCGCGAAGGGGGTAAGATACAAGCCGCAGCCCCTCGGAACCGGAGTGCCCCTCACCCCAGCTCCCGATGAGGAGAGGAGTTGGAGAGGGGAGGGAGAGAGAGCCCAGAACTGCTAAATACCCAGCCCTAGCCATCCGCACCAGAGCACAGACACAGTGCATGCGTGGGGTGCTGGAAACTAGGGAAACAGGACAGTAAGACCTGTGAGTGGGTCCCTGCAGCCAGCGCACTGGGAACAAAGAAAAGCAAGTGCTTTTTGAAAGTCTTAAAGGGACAGGGACCCCACAGCTGGACGGAAGTGCCCGAGGACACTTAGCCCAGCAGCTGGGAATCATGGGGAACTCTGGGCACCCAAACCCCCGTAGCGCAGGGCAGCGGCCCCTCACCGCGATAAACAGCCTCCCGCCTGATCCCCCTCCGATGCAGCTCTGCCATATTGGAGAAGCAGCCTGAGGCAGGCCACGCCCACAGCAACTGCAACGCTAAACTCCATAGTGACTGGGCAAGATCAGAAGCCCCATCTGCACACAGCTGCCCAGCACAAGCCGCTAGAGGCCGCTGTTCTCCCAGGAGAGGAAGGCCACAAACTGGCAAGAAGGGACTTTCTCTTACCCAACACACGCACCAGCTCCCTACAAATATATCTATCGCCATGAAAAGGCAGAAGAAATTGATACAGACCAAGATCACAGAGGCAAACCCTGAGGAGATAGACCTAACCAATCTCCCTGAAAAAGAATTCAAAATAAAGCTCGTAATCATGCTGATGGAGCTGCACAGAAATATGCAAGAGCTAAGGGATGATGTCCGGAAGGACATTACAGAACAGAAAAAACCTCTGGAAGGATTTATAAGCAGAATGGATAAGATGCAAGAGGCCATTGATGGAATAGAAACCAGAGAACAGGAATGCATAGAAGCTGACACAGAGAGAGATAAAAGGGTCTCCAGGAATGAAACAATATTAAGAGAACTGTGTGACCAATCCAAAAGGAACAATATCCGCATTATAGGAGAATGGGAGGGAAGGGAGGGATAAGGGCAGGGAAAAGGAAAGGGGGTATTACGATTAGCATGTATAATGTGGGGGGTCATGGGGAGGGCTGTGCAACACAGAGAAGACAAGTAGTGATTCTACAGCATCTTACTACACTGATGGACAGTACTGTAATAGGTTTGTGGGGGGTACTTGGTGAAGGGGATACCCTAGTAAACATAATGTTCTTCATGTAATTGTAGATTAATGACAAAAAAAAAAGTAAACTGAGTAAGTGATGACACAGTTAGGAACGGTCAAGCATTGTAAGGCAAGGAAGACTGAGACAATCAGTATGGGGGGCTCTCTCATCACTTATAAGACATCCCAAACTGCAAATGGGGTTTATAAGACTGAACAGTACACACACCTCAACACCTGGTTCTACAACCAACTCTTAGATTTACAAATACACAATACATGCCTAAGGCTGTAAGGCACCTCTCAGGACAGTGACATCAGTCATAAGACTACCTCTATGTCTGCATAATGCAGCATAATAAAAATCTGTTCATGGTTTTACTTTTCAAAACACCCTATATTTATAACACATTCGTCTTCAGTTTGTACAGCTTACAGAGGCAGAGACAGGGTCAAGTACAAACAGCAATTAAGTTATTAATATTCACGTAATGATGACATTAAAGGGCCTCAAAATAAGAAGCTGACAATAGTTTCTCCAGGATGGAAGAAAAAAAGCTTATCCTTGCATTCAGACCACGGATCACATTACAACTCAAATGGCAATGGTGGCAACATCTGTGAACTGATGTTTTTGGAACAATGAACCAGAAAAATCACAGATACAGCAACATGTTCTTTACATTTAAACTTGTCAGTGTATTTGTACCCAGTCTCTTCTCTCATACACATCTCCAACCCTTTCTCATTCTACTCCTATTATTTATAATATACATCACAAACAGATTTACTGGCTACTAATGAGCATAGGCTTCAAATCTACCAGGTCCAAAGTCACTTGTTCATGGCTGGCAAACATACCCATTAGGGCTTGATTTCCAAGTCCTGCATGCTTCGTATCTTCTAGTCAAAGAGAAGTTAGTAAACATCCCAAAGAATGAAATCAGTTTCATATTTTCTAATGGTATCTCCATGTTCAGAAGATACATCCTCATCAAGAGCACACCCTCAAGTATTCAAAAAAGAACAACTCTAATTAGGTGGGAAAGTTTACCAGAATTGCACTAGTTAATAAAACTGCTATACCTCAAATTAAAAGAAACTAATGCTATAGTTTATGATAAAGGAAGATTAATGAACTGGCTCTGATACAAGGTATATTACCAAAAATTTTAAAACAAGAAGTGAAAGATTTTACCAAAAGACAGTCAGGCAACAGAACTGCCTATGGTTTAACACAAATGATAATGTGAATCCTAAAACTGTTACTTAAAATTTGATAATGGTGCAATAAGCCAGACACAAAAGATCACATGTACAATTCCATTCACATGAAATATTCAGAATAGGTAAATTCATACAGGCAGAAAGTAGATTGGTGGTTGCCAAAAGCTGGGAAAATGGGAGTGTTAAATGACTGCTTAGAGAGTATGATTCCCTTTGGAGGTGATGAGAACGTTTGGAACCTTGAGGTAGTTGAGGTGGTAAGCTGCAACGCTGTGAATGTACCAAATGCCACTGAAACTGTTCACTTTCAAATGGTTAATTTCATGTCATATGGATTTCACCTCAATTTTTAAAAACACAATTTTTTTTTAAAGATTTGATTATGGATAAAAGGACTTTAACACAGAGACTCTTACTTGGCCAGTTCATGGGTACAGTGAAGGCCACACTCGTGGTGGGCTGTGAAAGCCAGGTTTCAATTCAAGTTATATTTTAAATATAATGTCTGGCCAATTTTTAAGGTGCTTAATCCACATAGTTCATAAATCAGCAACTGAAGTGTGTACTGCTTTAGATATATAAAACTAATCTTTCATCTCTTTACACACAAAATAACAATATGTAAAATTCATCCTACTTAAATTTCTTAGTCCTGTTGGCTAAATGGTGTTCATTATTAATGAATAAAAACTTCAGTGCCTGTTGCAAAAGTCACAGTGTCTTACACTACATTGAAGTGAGAAACTGTGTGACAAAATTCTGTCCAATACAAGCTTCTGCAATGATGGAAATGTTCTGTTTCTGTGCAGTGATATGACTGTCACTTAGCCACATGTGCCTATTATGCACTTGAAAGGTGGCTGTGACCAAGGAACTGACTTTTAAATTGAAACATTTAGTTCTAATTAATTTAAAGAGCCATAAGTGCACAGTTCTAGATCCTCTTAAGGATTCTCCTTAATTGTAGTACAAAACTTTCCACTTTTATCCCACCCCCCACCCACCCCATTACCCAGCTTATGATGGCTCTTCTGAGTTCCTCTAAGGTAGGACCCTTCTTGCAGCTGTAAGCACACCCACACACAGATCTCAGTTCTGGTCCCCTAAGACATTAGAAACTTCCAGAATGACTGTGGTTTTCTGAAATACAGAGCCTTTTCCCTCCTCCTGTAAAGTCTCCACAGGCTGAAATGGTGTACGTACCGAGTAAGCATGTAATTCATTGCGCCTGGACTGCAGCTGTTTCTTCTGGTTTTCATAGGTCACTAGTTCCTTACAGTCTTATCACTTCAGTTTTCTCACCATCTGTAGCAGTCTACCTATATATTTACTGCATCTCTATCAGGGTTCAATAGACTAAAAACAACTTTGTATGTGTCAGTTTTCCAAGAAGAGGTTAGAGAAATAATACTGAAGAGATGCTGAAGTACAATTTGCATAAGGAACTAAAAATTCTCTAGCACCCAGATGACCATACACTCCCAACCAAATCCGCCTGCCTGAGGTATTTTTCTCCCACAGACAATACTGAAAACCAGTAAAGGCAGACATCACAGCCAAACGCCCACACAACACATGAAATGTCCATGGTTTTGCCTTAACTACCTATGCTCTCAAAATAAAAAGGTACAATGGCTACAGTGGTGAACAGAGCTGTTTCAAATTATCTCACATTATTTCCCAAAATGTAGGAAGAAATAATTTCAAAGTAGAGCATTGCCTACTTATCACAATATCACCCTGCTACTAATGAGACAGAACAGGGAGGTGGTGCCATAGACCACAATCTCATGGACTCAGTTTCTGAGAAAGTGTCTCAGCCAAAAAGACCTTTTAATAGCAAATCACAGGGAAAGGACTAGCTGAGTTATTATTACTAGAATAAGCTTTGAAATCAGATGTAGAGTCTAACCCTGGCTCCTCCACTTACTCAGAGATGTCACCTCACTTATTTAGCTTTTCTGAGCCTTAATTTTCTTACCTATAAAATCAGTCAACATAACCTCAAGAGACTGTTGTGAAGATAAAAGCATATGAAGCAAGTAACTGCTTAATAAGTTTATTATTACAAGCTTTCAAAGCCCCACATTAACAAAACTTTTGAAGAATAAACACAAGAAAGGCAAATTCTAGGGCCTCTTAGGAAATCCATGCTGGTGGGTGGTCAAGATGTGGCCCCAGGGATGCCCTTCTCCCTGGTCAAGAGCACTGTGTAATGGAAAGGGCACTAAGCTAGCAGTTGGCAAACAGAGATTCCAGACTCCACTGTCACTGAATTGGAGTCACTGAGTATCTGTAGGCCTCAGTTTCTTTATCTGACAAGACTGTACTACTGCCAGGGTGACTTCCAGCCCTAACATTCTATGAACTATTCATTCACTAAAAGCAATGACACACATCCACTGGAGTGGGCTTTCTGTAGAGTAACTATGATACACTATGTTTTTCAAACAACCCTAAAACAAAGGTTTATTTATAATTTATATCCCATTTACTTCAAAAAAAATGTAGGTGAACTTAAAATACTTTGCAGACAGCCCCATTAAGGTACAAAGGGAACAGAAATACACTTACCTGCAACCAAAACCAACCATCCAAAGGAGTTAAGATACACCACTGAGTAGTACAGTGACCCACTGTGGTTCTACAGAAATGGTCAACCCAGAAATTGCCCCAACAACATTCTAAGGCATGCATTTTCTGCTTGGTTCAAGGTGAGTGGCTTACAATTACCTGGTTGGAATGTGGTATGGATTGGGTGTAACCACTCTTAGGTTAAGCTGGTGAAAGACGCTCAAGAAATCCTTACTGTTTCTCTCACCTAGGAAGCAGAATTATGATAGAGAACTGGTTCAACTTGGAATACTGTAACAACTGGATTTCCTAAAACAAAGTCACTTAGGAAAAAAATACACCTACAGCCTAGCCTGCTTTGTTAAAATCTACTGAAAACAACGACACCACTTTTAAGCTTTGGTATGAATCAACAAATGACAGCTTAAAAAGGAGCCTAAGGATGTCAGAATAATCAAGAACTTTCAACTAGTGGCCATATTCTTGCTTCCCAATAATTTAAGAACTGTGAATATAATGATGAAATTCTAAATTAACATGCCCAATAGACATACCAGTAAATAAAAGCTGCTCCAAAGAGGGTCTATTCTCAATCAAAATTTCATAATGGCAGTAACTCACTGTTGTTAAGTATGAGCACCACGCAGTGAAAAAGGTAACTGATGCTCTACTCTAGCAATTTCCTAG